TATTGTGATGCGGATTGGGCAGGAGATGCAAATGATAGGCGGTCAACAACGGGCTATGTATTCTTTGTTGGAGTGGGAGCAATTTTATGGAATTGCAAGAGGCAACTCACAATTGCAAGGTCCACAATGGAGGCGGAGTACATGGCAGCAAGCCATGGTGCAATGGAAGCAACATGGTTAAGGCAAGTTTTGAAGGACATTGAACTTCTGCAATTGGAAGCAACTCTATTGAATTGTGACAATCAAGGATGCCTTGCTTTTGCAAAGAATCCAAAGCATCATTCAAGAACCAAGCACATTGACATTCAACATCACTTTATAAGAGAGAAGATTAAAATGGGAGTGTTTGACTTGAAGTATTGTGCAACAGAAGATATGCTTGCTGATTTGTTAACAAAGGCATTGATAAAAGATAGACATCATATGTTGACAAAGGCATTAGGTTTGAAGGGCTTTGACAATTAACAAAGTGGGAGTGTTGAGGTAAAAGATAAAGATGTTGAGATAAATAGGTAATAGTAAAAGTAGAATAAGTTAACTTATAGAGAATATTCTCTTAGGTAAGTTTCTAATGGTCAAAGGCAACTAAGGACTAAGTAGCAGCTAGAGTCTCGAGAGGCGGTTAAGTTTAGGGTCTCGAGTGGCGGCTAGTTATAGATGAATGTGGATGAAGTCTATACATATTGGATGTGAACTCTGATTATAAGTAACGGGTGTTGGAAGTAAGAGTTATCTCATTCCACACTTCTCTTATGTGCAACCTTGCTGATTTCTACTTACTTGTGTTATGCTTATAGTATTTCTTCAATACATTATGATGCACCTCAACATGGTGTTTTTATTTTTTATTTTTTAAAATTATAAAATCTATGACTTATAGAATCTTTTTAAAAAAAGGATTCAAAAGCTTAAAAATTTTTAAACGCCTGTGGGATTATTTCATTTAATCTCTTACAAGAAAAGTAATGTAAAATTTTAAAAAGTGTTAAAAAGTTTTGGAAAGCAAAAGAAAGTTTTTAGAAAATTATGGAAGGCAACAAAAGACTTTAATAATTTTTAATCACATGTTGTTGTGATGTTGTTGTGTGTCTCTGGAAAATTTCAAAAACATAAAAGAAATATATATATATATATATATATAAATATTTACAGAACTAGTGAAATTATCTTCATCTAAAAGTTATAATACTCTTAGAATTGATAATAGTTTATGATTTTGTCAGTACGATAAATAAATTGAGGGATTTGGAATATTCTTTTGTTATATTATTGGATTATAACAAAAGATGGTTAAATTATCTATAAATAATATTATAAAATAGTATAAAATATTTTTACATATTAAAAATATCATTTAAATTTTAAAATTATAATCATAAAAATTTAAGCTAATTTCAAAATCACGACTATAAAACACCCTCCTAAATCATTAAAACTACCACAAAACCATCCAATCAATCAATCAATCAATCAGTAGCCCTTGTTTAGACACCACTTCGAGAGATCTTTTACTTTTCCGTCCCGAGTTCCTTTGTCTTTTTCGCATCCTGTCTGCTTCGACAGCTTCGCGACGTTCAACGAATGCAGCCGCGGCGCACAATTTGCGGCTGCCGCCCTTTGCAGGGCCAAGCCCCATTCCCTCTAGTTATGAGTTAGATTCGTCGCCCTTTGCTTTGCTTTAAGGCATTGGCACCCAGAACCTCAAAGGCTGAGCGGAAGAATAAGACGAAGTCGAAGACGAAGTCGAAGACGAAGTCGAAGACGAAGAGGAGGAGGGGAGGAGGCACCGAGAGCTGAGGGGCTTTCTAGCTTCTATTGCTGGTGGTTTTCATATTAGGTAGGCATGCATTCAATGAGTAGTTGGAGCAGATGCTGCTGTCGCGAAGGTGACGGCGGCAGCGTCACGTAGAAAGCCACTCAACGACCGTGTGGATGCGAGTATTGAAGACATCGCAGCCGCCAAGCATGAATCGATCAGCTTTGCACCAACCTTGGATGGTCTGATGGAGATCGCTGCAGTCAAGCAGGAGAGGATGTGGAGTTACTTTCTGAGGAAGAATAGAAGCTTGGATGGGGGGGGGGGGGCATCGGGTTGTGGTGGATTGTCTCCTTCGAGGTTCCATGTGCCTGGTCACGATCCACAGCCGAATGAGATTTACTCGCGCCGTGCCTCACATCACCCACTCGTTGGACGCGCACTCAGGGCAGATCCCGTGGCGCAGATTGGCTGGCAAGGGCCGAAAATATGAATCTCTGCTGGCAAGTGCGCCATGTAACATATGCAACATGGAAAAGAGGGTGTGGGTTTGACAAACCTGAAAGTTATGGGAGCAATTAAAGGCGACCTGGATGTGGAAACTGTGCGGAAAGCAAGAGCCCGCCTGAATGGTGTGAGCCTTATCGCAATGACGAGGCGAATTTTCCCCCGCTGGGTCAAAGGATTTTATCCTCCAGATGCCTTGGATTTTCGAATCACCGGTTTGTGGGTTTCACCGTCTCGACCAAGGAATGGATCTGCTTTCACTGTTTTGGACATTCCTTGCAGTCGTGAGTGTTCGGGCCGCTTGGGGTGTTACCAGACAACCACAAGCATCCAGTTCGCAAAGACGGAAGAATCACAGACTTTTTGCAGTCATTGATTGCACTCATTGGGCTCTTCCACATGAGAAATGAGACATGAGACGTAGTTTTCTTTCAAAAAAAAGTATTGCATAATATAACAATACAAATAAATAATTATACTTATTATTATTATTATTATTATTATTATATCAATAATATAACAATACAAATAAATAATAATACTTATTATTATTTATTAATAATATTATAATAATTATTTATTATTATATATTAATAATAATACTTATTATTATTTATTCATAATATAACAATACAAATAAATAATTATACTTATTATTATTATTATTATTATTATATCAATAATAAGATTTAAGAATGCATTATTGAAAATTGCTCAAATCATTTTAGAGGCAGAAAACCTAAAACCCGAATACGGTGTGTTCGCGGAATCCTGACTTTTCACAGTGAAACGCATCAAAATGGCTTTGGCAATTGCAATCAAGATAATGAGGCTGGCATGACCCCTGACGGGCCTTAACGACTTCCTGACCCACGGTCCAGTCAGCAACAGCAGTGAAGTTGAGGCTCACAGTTTGTCTGCGACCGCAGTCCTGGTCTTGAACAGAACCATTGCTACAATCCCTGCAAAGCAATGTAGTGGAAACTTCTTCTGTTTCCCTATTCTTCTTCATCGTATTCCTCTTGAATGCCCATTCCGAGCTCCCGATGTCCATGGTACACGTTTCTAGCTGGTCAGAAATCAGCTGCATGAGTTGCACAGTGATTTCCATCTCACGCGCAGATGTCGACTTGTTTTCTTTTCCTGATATATTGGACCATTCTTTAACTACTTTATCAAGCGGGGCATTGAAAGGCACGCTCAGCTTCGTGCACTCCCTAAGCATGTGTGTGTGTGAGCCTTGTCAGTTCTTCATTAATGGCCCAGCGTGAAAACCCTCCACTGCGTAAAAACCCATCGAAATCGCACCATGTCAGCGAGAAAAACTTCAAGCTGAATGCACTGCGTGAGCGATCTTCGTGGCTCTGAGGCGAACCGTGATATGTCTTGTTGCCAGGCGGACTTGCCTACAAGAACTGATCAGTGATGTCTCCGTTCCAGCTAGTCGTCGTCGAACAGTGCAGCTGTATTGTGAGGCCTGAACCGCAACTGTTGAAGATGGTGAAGTTATCGGTGCCAAGAATGCAACATGCAAAAAACCCAAAGTTTCTGTGTGTATAGCAGCGACTGGCTGCAATGTTCATGAGGAGAATTGGCGTTGATCCAACTCCTTGTAAAATCCAAACAGTCCGTTAATCTTAAGTCTATTGAAGTTTCAAATTTTCGTGTGAAACACAAATGGATGCATGTGTGTGAACATATACATGTTTACATGCTTAAAATGGCTGTTTGGGACTCACTATGGGTTCATTGATGTTTCCTAGATAAAACTTATCCACGAGATCGTGATTTGTGAAGAGAAATGAAGAGTCGTTATACAATCACACACAAACCTGTACAAAGCACACAAAAAGCTTTAAATAATCATCACATCCAATCAATCAATGGGAAGTTATAGTTGAATAAATAATAGAAAAGCTCAAATTAAAAAGTGCAAAAAAAAACAGTTGACCAAACAAGTAAGTGTTTGATAACTTGTTTAGTGTTTATTTTTTCTTGTTATTGCCGTTTTTATTTTTTTATTTTTTTTCAAATTGTTGTTTTACCACAAGAGAATGGCAGAAATGAATGCTGCTACACAAACCCAACAGGACGGGAGAGAGAGAGCTAGTTTCACAACAGCTATTCTCCTCCTTAGGATGATTGACAATGCCAGTGTGTCGAGTTTCTGTCAATGCCAATTGGGCGTGTTCACATTCTGCCTCACTGGACCACTAGTTTCCCCTTCTGTACAATCAACTCCAAAGAGATCATTCACAAGCAGTACTTGGTGGACAGAGTGGTACACTTTGAACTTTCGCCTGGCACATGGTCCCTGTTCTGTACAGGCCGAGGCAATTTTTTCTACAGGACCTAGAGGCCAACACCGCGTGAAGTGTAGGAACGCCAAGTTTTAACAATGAAGCTCAGCAGAAAAAATAAAAACAAAAATTAAATATGAACTCGCAGAACACGCAGGAGATCTTGAAAGAAAAAGAAGTCTAAAGACAAGACAACTGGTTGTGTGGGTATGAAAAAGCAGAATCGTAAAAGAGGAACACAATATCCATGGGCAAAGACCTGGAACATCGCAGAAGCGGTTTTCGTGTTTGGTGATGTGGCCAGTCAAGCAAATTGATGAACCACAACCTCCAACATACAACAGAGCTTTCCAATTCAATGCCATATGAAGGCACCCCAGCTGTGAGCGATAACCATGTTGTAGAGCCTTCGTCGTTGTGTATTTAAAAACCACGAGTAATCTTATAAACTGAACTTAAAATTTGATTTTCTTTTTTAAAAAAAAGGTAAACATTTTTAGTTTATTAAAGGAAAAAATAACCTAAACTCGAACCTGGTTTTGGAGGTGACACTAAAAAAGGGCTCACACACACATTGTAGCTGTACAAGTGTGGATTGTAATGAGGGAGGGACCCTAAACTAAGCTAAACGGAATAAGTATCTGGGACTGTAAAAAGAATCTCCTCCGTCCTCCTGTGACGGCACCACTCTGTGCATGAACACATATTGCTGCTAAGTTGCGTCGCCACCGAGTGCCGAGTGCCGAGCATCTGAAAAACTATGGGACTATCTGCCATCCAAAAGCAAGTGGATACCTAGCCTTGGTTCACAGACTCATACGCCTCACACTACAGCGAGACATGTAAGCCCTATGTCGGCCGAACACAACATTCCTTCGAATGATTCTACGGTGTTCTACGAATAATGGATACTTGGTGTCTACTACAGGGTTGCACCCTGCTCATCGGCGGTCGGCTAATTCTGCAAAGCATAGTGACCAGATCAATATGTAAACCGCATTTGAATTGAAGCTTCCCTCCCACGCATATTTGTTCTTTATCGCCAATGACCATGGTGATGTTGATCAGGTTCGGCCTTTGGGATTGAATCGCAACACCTCCAAGTGATGGCAAAATGAAGCGTGGCTCATGATACAAGTTGCCTCCTATCCACTGCATAATTCTACCTTGTTAGTCCCGCTGGTGCACAGAAGCTGAGATAAGGCTGATGAGAAGTCGAGCCGACGAGATGGAGCATGTTGGTCCAATAATCCTTGCTCTCCAATACACCGTATCCAGACCACCCTGGTGAAGCTCTGGTTGCTGGCGCCGCGACTGCCTTCGGTGGAGGTATCAGAGACGGCTCTTGGAGCTCCATTAAAATTTCGGATGGAATTTGCATTAGACCCTCGGCGCTGTGAGGTGCAGCTTCCGCCCTGCCTGCAGGGTCTGATGCTTGCGAGGAGCTCGTCGGTAAACTAGCCGGCACAGTCCAGAATGTGGGGCTGGGAAGTTGCACAGTCTCTGAAGCTCTTGAGGGTGAGAAAGCTAAGTCACAGCTCGCGCTGCTAGACGGTAGCAGAAAATCAAGCGGCGTGGTGCCAAAGGGACTCGATAGTGTTGATGTCGGCGACATGAGCTGTTCTGTGCTGATGATCGACGATTGCGTTTTGGGTTCAGTGTAGGGATTGGTGAAAAGCCCACAATTGGTCGGTGCGGCGCATACGACGTCTGCGGCCTGTTGGGGTAAAGCAGCTGGCGACGGCGTCTCCTGAAAGTTGGGGAAGGTTTGGAACCGGCTGGTGGAGTCAGCCTGGGTGTCGAATCTGGTTTGAGAACAGTCGCTAAGGCTGCTCGACGGCGTCTCAGAGATGGGGGAATTGTACAGACTGGCGTCCAGAGCTTGGCCGTGGAGCAATTCCTCCTCCCAGTCCTGCAAAATTGCAGGTAATTCTATGCTAGCGGAAGCACTTCTTTCGAGCCCTCTGCCAAACTCGCGGCGAAGGAGGGACTCTGAAATTTGTGTCTTCCAGTGCCGCACCGAAGCGTCACCTGATAACCCCGGGGATGCACAGCATGAATATCCTTGTGTCGCTTGTGATGCCAATTTAGTGTAGTTGTTGGCTAGGCGAGCTTCAGTCTCCATGCGCACGCGATCCCATTGCGACATGTGGGTCAAGGTTGAGCACACGATGGGCTTGAGTTCCATATTGTCGAGCAGCAGGTTTGATTTTTCCTTGTGCGTCACGGGATCTATGCCCATCTGCAGAAGACGCTTCTTCAGATGTGTATTCCAGTGATTCTTAATTTCATTGTCTGTGCGGCCTGGGAGATAAGCTGCAATGGCTGACCATCTGTCATAAAACATAGTCCCACAATCTCACGTTAACAATTGGGTTCAGTGAACGCCTACAAATTAGCCGGGCACTCTCACAGGAGCCAACGTCTCAACGAATAGAAAATATAGAATCATGTACTTTTTTAATATATACATATGTGTATTTAAAGAAATAAAAATAAAATAGGCAAAAATCGGTGAGCACCTATTCCCAAGTAAGCCATGCAGGTGGATGATGACTTGCTCCTCTTCGAAGGAGAATTGGCCACGCTTGATGTCAGGTCTTAAATAATTCGTCCACCTCAACCTACAGCTCTTGCCACACCTCGAGAGACCTAGAAGAATCATAGACACCAAACGATCAATTATGAACTGTGTTCCTAGTTACGAAGAAATTCACACCACGTTCCACCGACGACACCATTTACCTTCTAAATAGAAAAACTGAGGTCTAAATCAGAACATTTTCATGTATACGTTGAACTGAACTCATCTGAAAAGCAGTCAATAACACATGTCCTGTATTACAGCTTCTACTATGGGACGATCCAAATTTGTTGTAAGACATTCCGGTACTCATTGGAGGAAGGATTTCGAAGCGCACCGGCATGCTTGGGCAGGGCACGCCAACTGCCATGGCCGAAGCGCTGAATGTAATCCACAAGCTTCTGGTCCTCTTCTGGTGTCCAGGGCCCCTTTTTAAGACCCATTTTGTCACAACATGGAGCTCTCACCATTCTCCGCAAACTACGATCGATGAGCAGAAAGTAGAAACAAGCGTGTCTCGTAAACCTCACAACCTTCAACTGAATATGTGATCTGCAGCTAGGGTCCGGTGTCAACAAGAGCTCGATCTGAAGGACGCTCAAACCATCACGACTACTGATCTAATGGAGAGTGGTTCAACGAACAACGTCGAGCACTGCCTGAAAATCTCTGTGCGAATGTCCAGAGTCGATGCTTCGATTGGAAGTGCACTCTATTAAGACACTGGCACGACGTGTATAACGTCTCTCACGAAATTCTAGGCTCGCGAAGGTCCCGAAACCCCCAACCAAATCAAAATGCTCAAAAGTTGCTTTTGGAACGATTGCTGAAAATTCGCTGATATATGTCCAAGTTCTGGAACCCTCAATTCCCTTGTACCAGGCTCGAGAGACTTAATCCCTCGCGCGCACACAGCCCGAAAAAACCTTCGCAGTAAGAGAGTGTGGGTGATGGTAGCGCCTCTAACACCCCGATCGTGCACTCGCCGCAACGAAAGTTAATGAAACCGAGTGGCCTTCCGGAATCAGACTAGGAACGTCGCCACACAATTGGTGATCGCTGCAGGATGTGAACTGATCCTCGTGATGAAATTCAACTTCCAGGGACATCCAGGGACAAATTCCAGAGAGCAAGCGAGGGGGTAGAGTACAAGATGTTGAAGGGAGGGTCTTGCGCCTGGCGCCAGGGGTGGACTGAAAGGAGACTGGGAGGAGACTCCGCGCAAGCTAGGCTAGTAACTTACAAGCCTCCTGGCAGGTCTTTAAAGGTTATGTGTTGGTATTCTCGTTGTCGTCAGGTTTTCCCGTGGACTGCAGTCAACTCCTGCTTCTGGACGTCGGATCGAGCTGCGATCGAATCCGCCCGCTCGTCGCCTGCCATTTGTGCAGCCCAATGCCTGCGCACAGCGAATCTGGAACATCGATGGGATCGAGAGAATGCGCGTCGCGGCACTCGCAAACTGGGAGCGGCGAGATTTTACAGCAAGTGAAACTCTTTTTTGATTATGTGCTTTTTGGATGTTTCACCTTTCAAAAAGTCTCTCGAGCAGCTGGAATTTTCTCCCCGTTTTTTTATTCACACCGAAAACCCCCCCCCCCCAAACTGTCTGGCTACTTTTGACCTCAGTCTTTAAGACTGTTCAAGCTTGGACGTCCCCCCTCTCCCCAACCCAACCCACTTGGCTCCATTGACAATCAACAACTCACACAAACTCACACTCACACATACAAATACTAATTAAACATTAATTACCACGACCCATCAACTCTAACAAACTTCAATCCCCAGTCCATTTTGCCTTCGTCACAGCAAGGCTTCCCGGCTCAACGCTAACAGAAACATTAGCACTATTTACTAGTATCATATTTGCTAGTATTCTTTTGTCCGTTAACTCCGACACGACACGTACACACCCTCACAACCCAATTGCCGGAAGTGCCATCCATGTCTTCCCCTCGGAACTCCCCCCCACTGGATGGCTGCAGTCTTTGGATCCCGGAGCCAGCGCCGAAGGGTGTGCACACCTCTGCCTCCACCGCAATGTCGGAACATTCAGACAGCATCCCCTTTTTCATCTCTCTCTTCTGCCCTTTTCCCCTGGTTTCTGGACATGGTGTGGGTCGCCGCACCTCCATTCCCAAGGCCAGGCTAGTTCCCCCCTTCCCAGGCACATCAGTAGTCAGACTAGGGTACTCTCCCCTCTTCCTCCTCCATTATCCATCCCCATGCAGGGGAAGGAGAAGAGGGGTATCATCATCATCAGTATTATTGTTGTGGCTCCAGCCCTAATCCCACAGTAGTGTAGTGTAATGTAGTAGTCCCTATGAGAGAATAGTTGATTTCTGGGTAGCTTCCACTCACAAGCAGAAGAAGACCATGTTGGCTGATTACATTCAGCATGGGAATGATGGAGCACTTTTCAGAAGCAGCGACTGACTGGAGTCAGTGGACCGGCATAAACCCGGCAAAAAGCAGCAGCTGGAGTCTGTTTTATTTTTTTTGTTTATTGTTTGATATTATTGTTTATTATAAATGAGAATTTGGGATTCCCTTAGGAAATAGATCGAGTAGCTCAGGGGTGATCAAACTATGTTGTTGTATATTGTATTGTATGGGAGTATTTCGAGTAGGACAAGTGTGGGAGGGGTAGAAGCGTTAAGGGAAAGAATGATGATAGAGTAGAGTGGAGCCCTGCTTCGCCTTTTTGAAGCAAATATCGTTCCACGGTTTGTAGAATCATTGGCAACTCAATTTCATTGAATCATTTGTAGGGTTTTGTTGCATCAAATTACAAGGTTTTTCTTTAATTCTTTTCTTGTAATAAATTATGAGTTTTTACAATTAGGGGAGAAGGTAAAAGACTATAACTATGTAAACTTTAGATTGATTGAAATTAAAATTTCTTATTTAGTTGGATTTATATGCAGTAAAAATAGCCTAAAAGTCCTGGAAAGAAAAATATGAGATGGAGTGCACTTTTTCTAACCTGTCATGAATAGTGTTATATCTCAAGACATGGTTTTTACAAAAACTTGAGGAATCATGTCAAATCACTAAAAATAAAAAATAAAAAATACTCTTGAAAGGCAACCATGTTTGTTGTAATTGTTAGAAGAAGACTATAAGTTATTATATTTAAATTACCATAAAAAATAACAAAATAACAAAATATGGTCCATATCATGGTCTATTTGCACTTTATATGATTTCCAAAAACCCTAGCTTCCAAAAGAAATGTTTTCATCACCAAGCTAAGGATCTTCCCAAGTGTTTTAGACTATGGCCTTTCAAAGTGGGCTTCTACATATCAAGATTCCTTCAAATTGTTTTTTTTTATAAAAAAATGTGAGCATAACTAAGTATTCACTGTAAGCACAAAAATTGTACTCAACAATAATAATCTGAATTTTTTAATAATATTAAAAAAATTTAAAAATAAAAATAAATTTAAAATTGTAAAGAATTTTAGTGTTTCAATAAAAAAAATTTAATTATCTACATGAATTCTAAATAATAATTTTTGATAATTTTTAAGAATATATATATATATATATATGCATGCAAAGCTTACTATATTCATAATATGAAAAATTACCTTATTTTATTAATTTCCCTTTTAATAATTGCATAAAAATTTAAAAAATACATTGTACATAAATTGGTAACATCAGCCCTTAATTTGCAAAGATTAACAATATTAGTAATGCTTTAAAGTGCATTCATGCTCTTCAAATTGATAAAGAAAAAGCAGTTCTGTCAAGTTTCTAATGTATTTTGTTAGAGAAAATATAGATTTACAATAATTAAATGAACTCTTCTTATCTTAAAATACTAATTACATTTTTTTAAAATTAAAATTCTCATTATTAGCTACAAATTCTTCAGGAAAGAAAAAAAAAAAAAAAAAAAAAAAAAAAAAACAACAACAACAACAACAACAACAACAACAATCTTATAGTGATTTCATACTAAATTATACATAAAAAAAATTCATTATAAATATTTTAAAAAAAAAATTAAAAAAAGATATAGAAGAAAAATTCTCTAATATAATAATCTCTAAAAATGCTGAAGGTTTTACATAAAAAAATATTTTAATTATTAATGAAAATAAAATGTCTTAAATAATATTATTAAGTAAAAAAAGTAATTAATTTTAGAATGTAAAAATTAATTATTATATTCTATAAAAACATGCTAATTTTTTGTTATAATTATATAATATTAAAATTATATATTGATAGTTTCAAAGACTTATTGTTTGATAATTAATTGTAAAAAAAATTATGAGCCAAAATAATACTAGACAATATATAAATGTTTTATTTAACTTGGTCAACCTTAAATAACTTTAATAGAATTTATCTATATTACAAGACCAAAAAATTAATAATGCAAGTTTTTCTAATTGAATTTTAAGAATTATATAGAATTATATTAATTTTTAAATTAAATCTAAGACGCTCTAAAAAATAATATTCAAGTAAGATTTAAAAAGTTTCAAGTATAATAACCTAAATTAAAGTATTTTTGTTAAAGATGTAGTCAAGGAATTTTTTTAAAAATTAAATTAAACCAAACTATACAAAATCTTACAAAAAAAATTAATTATTGCAAGATAAAAATACCATTATTAGTAATTGGACTTATAATTTAATTACAAAAGACTGAAAGAATGCTTCTAATTTGTACTTCAAACTAGTAACAGTAAATATCTGAATATACACAAGTTCATGAAACAAGACAAAATAGTTATGATAAACTGATAAGATGCATTATTAACTGAATATATAATTTTTTACAAAATAAATTTTTCTAATACTCTAGAAGTAAAGAAATCATCAAATTTACAAAAAAGTAGTAATAAAAAATAAATTGAATACATGTATATTTTTTTAAAAATAAATATCAATAATAAGGTATTAAAATAAATAAATAAATAAACCCAACATATTATGATATAAATAGTTTGAAAAGAAATTCCTATGATTGTTTGAGAATTTTATTAATTACAATCATATTAATATATTTACTTATCTTTTTTTTAACTTCTTAAGTATAATCATTTGAATGTCTTATGTTAATTATATTAAAAAAATTGTACAACATATTAATTTAAATAAAAAAAAATTGGTTGATTTTTATATGATACATAATTTCGAATAAAAAGAAATATAATCGGAACAGTAAAATTAACAATTTTTTTATATTATACCCGTACTTTTTAAAGATTCAAGTTATTCATGTTCTTACAAAGCCTAAAAAATAAAATAAGAAAACAAGCAATTATTAACACTTGATTGTTACTCCTTTTATTTATACATTTAATGTTGAAAATCGTTTACCATACATTTAAATTACATTTATATATACATATATCATTATTTTCTAAAATACAATTTTTTTTATTAATTAAATTCTAGTATCAGTCTAACAAAAAATAATTAAACATTTCTAGACACTTTAAAAATCTAATGATTTATACATTATTAAAGGAAAGATTCACAAGACCAACAAGTTAACAAATTTTATACCATAAAAAGATAACAATATAGAATTTTAAAATAGCCATATATATATATATATATATATATATATATTAGTAGCAATGTGAAGATAGAGGTTGAAACTGTAATAATTATAAAACAATATAATTATTCATGTATTGAAAGTTATTGAAAAAAAATTGGAAGTAAAGTAACCTTTATTTTATTTCAGATTTGATGTAATTTTTTTTAAGCAGTAAAATATTGAAGTGCTAGTAAAATTATAGACTACTAAAAGATTAGATAGTTTTTGTATACTTTTATCTAACAAATTGGTTAAAAGACAAATTTATAGTGAATACCATTAAACAAATATGTGGTGTCTAATAGAAAAAAATTGTACAACAATCATAATAAAAAATAAATAAATAAAAATGAAGATTGATATATCATACAAAGAATATTAGATAAATTTAATTAAATAAACTTCTAAAATACACTAAAAGATTTTTAGTTCAAAAACATAAATATTATATTTAATTTTAAAACTACCATGAGAAAGTAAATAAAATATAAAATATAAATAAATGTAAAATAAATCATATGTGCAATATATGACTTACTTTATCTATAGTAAAAATAATAGTCACTTTTTAAATAAAAAACCACACAAGTTGGTTATATTTTTTAATCATTTAAAATTAAATAATATAATTTATTTAAAATTTTAAAAGGTCTATTATAATTTTAGTCAAAAGTTTAATCACTTATCAATAGATTTAAATTCATATCAAGATTTAAAGTTGAAAAAAGAATTGTAAAAATGAAGCAATACGTATGTTTATATATATATATATATATATATATATATATATATTAATTACTAAAATTAGTATTATTAAATATTTTTTTACTAAT